ATCTTTTATCCTGTCATTGTTATCGCAGATCTACTTACGCTAGATTAATCTTCACACAATGTATAGGAAAAAAAACACAACTGAACAGAAGAACAAACATGGCTATTGTGTACAAAAATAAATTTATCGGAATCGCCTTTGAACTGTGCAAATAAAGCTTTCTTACGACAGAAATATTCCTGTGTCATAACATTAACTTGCGTAGTTCTTTTGAAGCTTATCTTGAATGAGAGATAACCTCCGACTCATCTGGTAAAAGTTACCAGTAGGACAGTGAACAAGACTGCTGTGCTGACGTGTGGTGACAATAATATCCACGAGTGATGTGATTATTAAATCATTTATATCGATAGTGATATAAACATGTACAGCTTCGACAAGGACCTGTGGCATGTGCGCCGCCCTTCCGAAACTCAGGAGGAGATCGTGCCAGGTGATCGGAGCAGTAAATATTTTAAATATATTTTCTTTGTTTAATTACAGAAGTATTTGCGTTGAGGTTTCCACTGGGTAATCTCAGCTAGAGATAATGTATTAGATTTAAAAGTAAAATAATTCAAGCATGTAATATATTGCTGAGAATAATCCCCATTATTCACGTTACAAAGAAAAATCTGTAGTGTAAAGTCAAATAAAAATGCTAACACTAAATTATTCTTTCAATAATTATTGTTTTTAGTCTCGCGACAGCCTAATGCGCCGTGGAGTGCAATAAATATTTGTAATGTGTCGCCGTCCGCACACCCGCAATGCGTAAACCGATTTTATGAACCACTCGAGTGGCGCTTGGCAGCGGACTGCGGGCTCAATGTACTTCCTTGGTCTTACTCGGACCACCGAATCTTTAATGGGTTTGGAAGTTGGGACGACAGTTAACTTTGCAAAATATAATACTTTGAAAAGTCTCGGTTTTTGGAAATTTTAATCATAATGTGTTGATTTTACCATTCAAACACAACTACGAATATTTTTTTGTGGAAAATTTCAGCATCGTTTTCTCGGAAAAAGTTGTTGCATTTGAGTAGTAGAATTAATTCTTTTTGATCACCTACCAATGAATCACCCTGTAATTTGTCACCAACAGCGTCACTATTCTAGGCAAATTTCGGCACTTTTAGTATCTAATGAAATTACAAAGCTCTACATTCCACGAAATGGCTTTTCCTCAGTTAATAAAACCGATTGTATTCGTCCATTCTTTTCATGAAAACACCTGCTTTAATTTGAGATGATCAAATTGTTTGTTCATCCATTACTTTACGTTTGCTTCGTAGTTTCATTCGACATTGTTGTTCATTAATCGGTGAAATATTTTAGAAATCGAGCATGTATGTCAGTGGTGGATTGGTCGTCGTAGTTTACTATTCGTTTTATGCAAGTTTTCCATTTATTTTACCCAATTGGACGACTGTTCAATTCATTACACTGGTAGTGTCCGCAAAGTATGAAAAAGCACACATATAAACAATTTATTGCAACACTTGTGCAATACCTCTACTATCGATTCTAGGTAAAAACCTACCTATTTATTCAGTTTTCACCTCCAATGTAAGGTTTTTTATTTAAATTTCGGATGCATTTAAATTGAAGCTGCTTGTTTCGAAGTCTAGCCATTTGCATTCTGTCACGTTGCTCGCGCGAGCTCCATTATGCATGGCAGACCTTGACCGAATGCGTTGTCGGCTGTGCCCGATCCCCGTTCCCTCGCCCCCTTACCCCCTATTTCTCTGGTTAGTTCAGCGGTCACGTCACGACTGAACGACGATTATCAGTTTGTCACTTGGCAACAAGTTCACAAGACAGCCCCTTGAATATGAATTTTCAAACGCTACCAATTTAAGAGTTTTTATTAACTAACAACACCAAAACAAATTAATGACGTACTTAAATCACTTAAAAAACATGTTATTTCCAATAACAAAATAGTTATCGTATATTGACCTTAATGAAGGTATTTATTAGAGATGAAACGGATAGTGGTTTGGCCGGATACCGGATATCCGGCCAGCTGCTAGGCCGGATAGCCGGATATCCGGCGGCCGGATAGTTGGCCCATTGTCTCGTTGCATGTCGTGACGAGTTTAGCGCCGCACAGGAGCTTCTAACGCGATCACTGAGTCTATTAGTAGACTAGACTAGTCAGACTTTTCGAAAATCGAATCAGTCCGAATAGAATGTCAGATTTTGCCACTTGTCTAGGGGGCAGATCAATTCGGGCGATTTCGGTTGCCATCGTGAGTGAGTGATTGAATAGCGAAAATTAAATTAGTTTACTTGCTGCGTCATCTGACTGAACTGCATCATGATGACATCAGACCATCAGTGAAAAAAAGATCGCCTACTTATTTGGCAATATTTCGTCTTAACAGATATTTACTATTTATGTATTCTTCATTAGAGTGAATAGCCCAGAAAAAGAAATTAGTTTTTTTAAAGGCCTTAATATGGCTTTTTCTAACTTTTTGGACTTTAAATAAAATCCGTCGTCATTATTATAACTTTATAAGCCATTTTATTGATGTTTACCTCAAAGATTAATGTATTTCATTTCATTAATAGGAAATTTTTGTAGTTTTTTAATATCCGGTATCCGGCCGGATAGTGAGTTACTATCCGGTATCCGGCCGGATAGTAAATTTAGGCCGGATATCCGGCCTACCGGATAGTTACCGGATATCCGTTTCATCTCTAGTATTTATTAAAAATTTATCATTTCAAGTGAAAAAAGATTGATAATAAATTCACGTTATAATAAGGAAAATATGTCCTAAATATCCTAATTAAGTCGTTCTCAAGGTTACCCTATTGTTGTCATAGACTTTAAAAAGACTGACTGTATCGAATGTATCTAAGAACCTACAATGTCTAGCCTAGTTTAATAGGTACTTGCAGTTTCTTTATTGTTCGGAGACAGACATGAATTTGACTTCCAAAATACCTAACAATGCAAATCCAGTACCTATGCATTTTTCAAATCGATAGGAATCAAATCCATCGATTCCTTTGTTAGAAGTAGCGTGATGAAAATCGGGTATTCGGGTCAATGCCCGATTAATAAATATCGTAGTTAAAAAGCTAACTGAGCTCTAAATAACTACAAAAACATTGAGTAGTTAGTTAAGTACAGTTACAAGTATTTATTTAGTTCAATAACTAGGTCTTTCATAACTGGCAACTCTAGTGGCATTCTTTTCTTTTCTTTTTGCTAATCAGAGTAGGTAATGACTAATGAGTTATTATGAAGTGGAAATGGGGTAATTTTACTAATTAATCAATTGTCTAACTGCACAGCAACGACACATTTTGAGTGACTGATTTTAATAAATGTCTAGTTATTTACGTATTTAATAAGTACAGCCAGTAGGTACCTACACAATGTTAGGAAAAACAAGAATTTAAATCTACGACCAACAGAAATGGAAACCGCAAAAATTCCATCCCCAAATTGTATCGTCTCGAGTTGTATTGATTTTTTGGTTCTTTTGGCCACTCGCGCCTTATTTAGAAGTTGTGGTTTGCATTCTACAAAATAATGGATTTACTGAGCAAACTTACTGATTACAAATGGCTTGATCAAATTGAATTACATAATTAGGGGCCGTATTATGAAACGTGACTCTACATTCAGTACCTCTAGTAGGAAAAACTTTCGAGTTCGTTTCGAAAAAAATTTTGTATGAAAAATTAAACAGCGCCCCCTATATTATAGCCGCCCTAGGGGGCGCTGTTTAATTTTTCATACAAAATTTTTCGATGACACTTTGAATACGCAACGAAACGAACTCGAAAGTTTTTCCTACTAGAGGTACAGGAAAAAATCGACCTTAAAATAGATCTGACAAAAGTCAACCTTATGAGAGTCGGTACTTCGGTAGTATTGAAAGACATTTTATAGTTTAACTGCATTGTAATTCTCTTAACTTAAATGATTTAGTACGTACCTTAATAATAAGGCTTCGTCGCACTTGTAACGATGTCGTAAAGTGATGAAATAGGAGGGTGAATGATGAAAGAGCGGTTTTAGCTTGAACACTCATTTAGTTTATGACCTCTAGTGAAATATAAACTTGTTTATAGCTAGTTATTTATCATAGTCTAGGCGTAATCTGCAAACAAATTTTATTTAATGTGTCTGCTCCACGAAAAGTCTTTAACACAGGATTAAAACAATTAAGTAGGTACTAATGAATTGAGACTGATATTGTCAAGATTCAGTTATAAATGATGTCATAGTTAGATCTGTTGCTACTTGCTATCAAACCTTATTTAGAGTTCTCAAAGCTAAACTTTATGGGCATCGACTGTAGACTGCAATTATTCTTTCTCGACAGACCATAAAGATGTTGAATCGTAAACAAAACTGGCAATGTTTACAAATAGGAGGACATTTGTATGCACGCGTCGTATCGCATCGCGACCTACACGCGCAGCCTGCGTTGTTGTGACGCACTCCTAACACCTTTGTGGCTATTTATATCATAGGATTGAAGATAGATCGATCGGCTATTCGAGATGTTTACTCGAATGAAAGAGGAAGATTAAGATGAAATGAAATGATTAATTTAGTAACAGTAACCTTATCAGTTGAACCTCTCTCGTAAACAGTCTTTAAGTTTATTGAGATAAGTAGTTTAGTGCATTGTTTGTGCCTTACTTTATGCTTTTAAAAAAATGTTAAAGACTTGATAAATCTGTAAAAAACTTAGCATAGCATGAGTTCCTATCTAACTCTGCTGCATAAATAAAGTTTTATCGCGTACTTCTTAGTTCCTTGTTACTAATAAATAGTAAGAGTCTGTACATTATGCTTTTTTTGGGGGAGGCCTATGTTCAGCAGTGGACGTCCTGTGGCTGAAATAATGATGATGATGATGTTTTTACTAACTTTTGGACTTACGTCGGAGAATATATATTTCGTGCAAAATGTTTTCTTTTTTTTTTGTCTCTGTTAGCCATGACAGTTCCTATCACTCCAACCTGACGGTGACTTTTGTTTGCAGGCAGCGAGAGCCCCACCAGCGCGGTGGGGGCGGAGGCGCCGCGGGAGCTGCCCAACGAGCTGTCGGCGCCCTACGAGGTGCCGCAGTTCCCCATCGAGCAGATCGAGAAGAAGCTCCTCATCCAGAGGCAGCTCAATGTCAAGTGAGTAGTGAACACATAGATGTAACCCTCAATGAACCAGAGTTTTAACCCTTTGGCCTGATTTCCGCCAAGGAGGAGTGAAAGGAGAAGTGTTTTGAATAACCAATCAGATTTCATTATTTCCATATATCCTCCCGCTCCGCCGCCACTGGAAAATTCGTCCGCCCGACACATCTTTCGTTTTCGCTCCGCTCCTGCTTGGTGGAAACTGGGCCTTAGGTTGAGTTGCACTACCTTACGCTTACTTTAACCGTACTATAACTTTAACCGGTGTTTTGTATGGAGTTTCACAGACTATTATATGTATAGGTGCCACCCACCTTGCACGTTGCGATTGCGATAGCTTCTGTTCTGTATCGTCTACATAGGCTCTACCTTCTGTTCATTGATATTTGGCAATTGTCCCACCGTAATGACTAGCTTAAAATATTCAGTTCATTATAAGTATTCATCCAAACATCATAAGACAAACCATACATACCGTTCATTACATTACGTACGTATACCTACTGCAACATTAAATTCCAAGAACGCGATTAGAGTTATTGATTTCTGATTGCGTTGCGCTGAATGATTATTGTAACTAACTAGGTAGTGTCGCTATACAAGTAAGTTCATAAATGGCTGACTACGGCTGAAGTTACATTGCATTGCTCAATCTTTTTTAAAGGGAGCCAGCTCACCGGACCTGATGATTAAAAGCTTCTCGGTGTGACAGCTTTTCCATCTTGGTGTTTTCCCCTGTTTATTGGTAAATTGTTTGTGACAAATTAAAATCGTGCATACTTAACTCTTCTTCAGGGTCTAATCTAACTCAATGTTAACTAAACTGAACTGAAGAAGTAGAGACGTGAAAATTTAGATTTCAGGTAGAGTTCGTAACTTCGTAGATACTTTAGTAGTTTCTTGTATACGATATTATGTGTAAATAACTTTTGCTGCTTGCTAATCGAGTAAACCTGGCCACATTATGTGCATGCTATGTGATGTTACACACACCCACATAACGAATGCCAAAGCACGAAACAAAGCGTGGCTGTGTGGTTAGGTTAGCCTTTGTGAATTTATGTGTTCGTCAAACCGTGTTGGGGCGTGTGCCGACTCCGGCTGTCACGGCGCCTCTCCCCATAAACTGTCACTTAATGTTATGGTTCACACGATTGCTATTGTTTATTAGCAGTCTAGACGCTATCGCCGTGCCTGCTGTTTGATTTCAGGTTGGGTCAAATTAAAAGTAACTGGGGGTAACAAAAATAAGGTAATTTGTGTGTTATAAAGCAAGTAAAACCAAGTTACAGACTACAGTTTGTGATCGGACGATCAGTTTTATTGACTGTATTGTCTGACAGATATTTATACAGAATGTTTCCTCCTAATCCAAGCAAAATCACTGAACATACAAGGGGGTTCAATCAATAGGTATGAAGCACATCTCTCTTCGCACGGGCTAGACGACTTAGAGGAAACACCGTATCATAAAATCATTTCAAATCAATATACGTACCTACGTGGTAGATTTTTTCTGGACGTTAATCGTTATTTACTGAGCTCTTAATATAAATGGAAGTTTACTAAACAGTCTAAGTTTCCGTTAGTAAACAGCGGAATGTATCTTCCAATAGCTGAGAGTGGAGCCGACCGGGACTGTTTACTCTCATTCCGTTGCGGTATATTGCACAATGTTTCTAATTAAGCTGCCACAAGAGTTTGATTGTACCGGTGAGTAATTAAAGAATCATAAATGTCCAAAGGTTTTGTGCGTTTTCCCAAATTAGTTCTTAAGTAGGTACCCAAATTGGGCTTAGCTAAGTTCTGAAACTTTTATTTCGGAAAATTCTTAGCGTTATAACATAACATTCATGAACTTCGAATTTCCACGCCCTTTTCTTGACACTAGGACGATAGCTGTGTTGATAATGTAAGACACATATTTATTTAGCTTTTCAGCTTTTCTTGGTTTTCCTCTTGCCTAATTTAGAACAAATTGGTAATGACGAAGTAGGTACTAAACAAGCCGTGTTTCCGCTATTATAGCTGAAGAATTGAAGTGTGAAAATCTTTGCTCGTAACTTTCCGCTGCGTCGCATTTTACAATGAGTCCAATTAAGCTCAGACATTATAGTGTTTGATTGCAGTAATTGAAGAACCATAGACACGTTCGTTACAGTTTTTAATGGACCGATCGGGGCTGTTTACTGTGCTCCGCTGCGCCTTATTTCGCTGCACAATGTACCAATGAGGATCAGTACTGTTGTAGAAAATTCAATAAAACTAGTATCTACGTTAATCTTTAAGACATAAGAAAGATATATCTTTTTGAATTATCCAAATCGGACCATTACTTACGAAGATATTAAGTAATAAACATAGGCCGTTTTTGCTGCTAAAAGTCAACGTACGCAAGACCGCATGACGTCATTATATCCGAATCGAGCTCAGCCGGCGTACTATTGGGATGGAAAATATTTTTTTCCGGCTAAACTATCAGTTTTAGAAAAAAACTTTTAATAACATTTATTCTTCAAAATAAAGTAACCTATCGACCAGTAATTTTTAAAAACAAAAATTGTGAAAAATAAGTATTGCTATGTCCAAATAAATCATACCCAACTTCTGGCCGAGGGGGAAGTCATGCCCAGCTTATGACCTGGGGAGAGGAGAGGGGCGGGGTAGTCATACCCAGCTTCTAGGCTAAGATTAAATAGATTTCCAGCAGGGAGCGGCTGTCCTTTCCTGCAGCAGCTGGCCCGCGCCCATGGGAACGGCGAATAGATAGGTGGGTGCGTAGGTTTAACTCAGAAAAACTAAATAACAGGTAGGTATTGCGTGTACATCGAAATGATTTTCATAGCAATATCTTGTAGCCTAGGCAGAGTGTATCTGCCTCAGCTATACCTTATTGTTAGAAGTAAATAAATTAATACTTATACATTTTTATCTTTTACTTGGAAGAAGATATGACTCTAAAAACACTTATGAACACTTTATTTGAATAAATCGCCAAATATGTGTGTGTGGTGACTGAGTTTGTTCCGGCGTTTCTTCTCAGCACTTGCCATATGTTTGTCTCGAAGCGCTGGTAGGGCCCAAAAGATAAGGATAAAGGATAAAGTGCCCCATAAGGGCTACCTTTTTCTTTTTTTATTATTTTCTATTGACGTTCATAAGTGCCACTTGTGGTCTAAACTGAATCCCATCAAAAACAATACTTGTCAAAAAAACCAAGTCTCGCAACTCAGTTGTTCTACGGTAAAAAGTTGTGAGATCCATGTAATACCAAGTCCAGGCCAGGAAATCTTTAACGTTTTTAAATTAAATTATTTAGTGCGATGGCCAAGTCAATAATTTATGTAAAACGTTAAAGATTTCCTGGCCTGGACTTGGTATTACATGGATCTCACAACTTTTTACCGTAGAACAACTGAGTTGCGAGACTTGGTTTTTTTGACAAGTATTGTTTTTGATGGGATTCAGTTTAGACCACAAGTGGCACTTATGAACGTCAATAGAAAATAATAAAAAAAGAAAAAGGTAGCCCTTATGGGGCACTTTATCCTTTATCCTTATCTTTTGGGCCCTACCAGCGCTTCGAGACAAACATATGGCAAGTGCTGAGAAGAAACGCCGGAACAAACTCAGTCACCACACACACATATTTGGCGATTTATTCAAATAAAGTGTTCATAAGTGTTTTTAGAGTCATATCTTCTTCCAAGTAAAAGATAAAAATGTATAAGTATTAATTTATTTACTTCTAACAATAAGGTATAGCTGAGGCAGATACACTCTGCCTAGGCTACAAGATATTGCTATGAAAATCATTTCGATGTACACGCAATACCTACCTGTTATTTAGTTTTTCTGAGTTAAACCTACGCACCCACCTATCTACACTGTGTATTAAGGATTTCTAGCCCTATAAATCTGCATTCACAGCTAAAAATCGAAATGATCCTCATTAGCGGCGACATTTATAGTGCTTGATAGACACATTGTTTATATAGTTTTGTTTACATGTCGTTTCAAATTAACTACTTCATTAAACGAGTCATTGTTGTATTGGTACTTAAAAGTAGTCAATATGATGTAATTAATGAACTTCGACAATTACGTTATCTCATTTACTGGACAAATATTTTCAATTTTAATTGTGTTAGTATATCAATAACAAATTAATATTTAGTCTGTAGGTTTCCTCTGCGTGTTAATGTTGTCAAAATTCAATTACAATTGAAGCACATTTCGTGGCTGTCATCAAATTCTCCATCTGGAATCTCCTCACCTATCGGATGCCTGCCGCGTGTGGGCGTCTGTCCATATACCACTAATATAAAGCCACCGATATTATTAGTGGCATAATTGGATCAGCCTTGCTGCGACACTAACCCTAGCGAAGGGATGCGACTCGTGTACGGCATTGGCAGGCTAGCATTTCGAAGCGCCTGTTCTGTTATGCCTTTGCCGTTGATTTAAAAAGTGACAGCTGAATAAGTTTGGTGTCTGTGCGGGAATAAATAAAAGTAAAAAATAAAAAAGAATAAAAGCGCGGTAAAGTAAGAACGTTTAAAGTGAAGTTTAAAAATGTTTGGGAGTAAAGTCGAATGCCAACGATGGACCTCAACTAGAAATACAAGGTTAGTTAAAATATTTGCAAATTCCCTGAAAACGGGTTTTTTTCCGAGCCCATAGCCAGGCACACTTCAGGAGGTCTGAAAACAAAACTAACCACAGTATTTCAGTTGACATCATGTCGACTTTTTTGTCCAATCCTTCTTTTTTTAAAACCGAGAGGGAGAATAATGATCTCACTGTTAACTGTTATACAAAGTATTAAAGAGAGGTTACCCTCCCCCCTTCAGAAAGAAAAAAGTTGAAAAAAAGTTTCAAACGTGCCAAGTTAATTGCGAAAGGCAAAGTTAATGATGAGGTTTTAAGGAAACCCTCGGTCAAAAAATAGCACAAATTATCGCTGGATTGGAACGTGGACAAGTCAAGCGACAAATAAAAAGTTACTTCGTTATGAATGACACCCACGAGGCGTCATCCGAGGCGCTCGCTCGTGTAGAGATAAGCTTCGCGGAAATGCATGACTCTGTGCTGTGAGCCGATAACTTTCTTCAAGAAAGATATATTTAGCTTTACTTTTTTATATTTAGCTCATTTTATGACTCGGTGCTTCAGCAGACCTTGATTTATCCCTCTCGTAACAACTTCTATGAAAGAGTCTTTTCTTTCAAGCTATTTCACTTATTGTTGTTTCTAGTAATCTGCCTAGTTCTATGCGATGTTATTTTAAGATTTCGTTTTAAATTATTTGTAGCAGGTAGTACTTAAGTCGAAATTATCATTCTACTTATCATGTCCTCTTCTACCTGGGGCAAAAAAATGGGGAAATAAAGAAAATTCTTACCTTGTAAGAGCTTGCATAAAACTATGCAATTTTGAAGCTTTCTAGACGACATAACTGAGCCTGTTGGTAGATCTATAAAGATAAATCTATACTAATATTATAAATGCGAAAGTAACTCTGTCTGTCTTGCTTTCACGCTTAAACCACTGAACCGATTTTGATGAAATTTGGCATAGAAGTTTGAGTCCCTGAAGGACATAGGATAGTTTTTATCCCGGTTTTTGAATCAAAGGACGCGTGCGATAAAGTTTTTCTGTGACAGACAATATTCCACGCGGGCGAAGCTGCGGGCGGAAAGCTAGTTGTTTTATAAGTCTTTAAAATGTTTTTATTTATCTTATCGTGTGCAACATACGCGTAGAGTGATTCAATTGTTTTTTTAGATTTGAGATGCGATCGCAAATTCTTGGAGGTTTTTCATTAAGAACGTTCAACATTGTTGACATTACTTCTCGATTACGTGGCGTGGGTCTAAACTGTAGTAGGAGTCAATTAAATATCAATTAATGAAGTCAGCTTCGGTCAGAGCAAACAGATCTCAAAGGGTAATTAAGCGAAGTTTGCTCGACTATTGTGGAAATATTGTAGTCGAAAATGTATACAATGAGTCACTCAGTCCTGAACCAATATTTGTTGAACGGCACAATAATGACAGACTGGTCTCTTCATTATCATTTATTTAATTTTGCTTCTAAGTGTATAGAACTTATATGTGTGTTACAAGATAATCAGCTGCATCGATAAGTACCTACAGTTTAAAAGTTCAACTTTTGTCACAAGAGAAACCAATATGCGCAGCTATAATAGGTAACATAGAAATTAGAACAGTTTTCAGTCTTATTACCTATTCGCCCGAATCAACCAGGATGTCGCGAAAGTTTTAGGTCTGGTTCAGATAAGGCGATAATCGCGTAGTTGGGGCAATTCTTGTGATCTCGTTTGATGCAAATCAAACCGTATGCCTTACCAGTGAGACAACCACCGCTTGGCTTTTCGCATGGTAATCGCGCGTGTTTGAACCGGGCCTTAAAGAAAATTAAAAGTATCTATACAGGGTGTTAGGTAAATGGGTATATGAGCCGACACTAGCCCATGTTAACATGGGCATATAAATGGTATGGTGAAGTCAGATATTTGATATCATCATTTAATTTTTTTAAATTTTCATACAAAATATTTTTTATTAAATCCGATTTGTATGAAAATTAAAATAATTAAAATGAAGATATCAATTTTCTGACTTCACCATACCATTTATATGACCATGTTAACATGGGCTAGTGTCGGCTCATATACCCATTTACCTAACATCCTGTAGATTGTGCGACGGGCGCCCGCAGTGAGTGTGAGAGCGCGACAGCAACATAATTACGCGCGAGCGATAAGGATGGGTAGCTTGGGGTCATTGGACAAAATTCTACGTGCTCACAGACCGGGCTTTAACCGTCATTTGTTTGTTCTCAGAGCGGCAGAATGCGGGCAGTCAGTCCGGTCCTTTGCCGGCAGCGAGGCGGGGGGCGGAGTGCTGGAAGAGGCGGCACGGCTGCGGGTGCCGGATGATGACGAGCAGGAGACCATACTCCCGCATTTCCAGAGGGTGGCCATTAGCGGGGAGGACACATCTGGGGTGATTATAAATTTTCATACTCCCTCTAGCTAGTCTATGTATGTATACCCTACTCTTGAACACTTTGGGAACTTGGAAGTTTGGAAGTCACTCATTCAGTAAGAACGTGGATAGTAGTCGACTCTGCACCTATATTACCCAGTTTCTAGAGTCATTCAAAACGTCTCTCTTTGAAACGCTTTCAAAATGCTTATGAATAAATATATCCATAGACGAAACCACGCCACAGCCTTGCCGACCCCCATCCTCTTAAGATTACTTGACTTAAAAGATGATTTCACACTGCTGTGTGCACAAGTGCTCGACGAACTGTCTGAGATCCGCTGCTAAGCTCTTCAAACACCAGTTAATAGTTATATGGTAGGAACCTCCGAAATCAAAATATCCTTTCAAATATCTCATCAGGTGCCCTTAGAAGACTTGCAGCAAGCGTCATCATACCTGGTGCAGGCGCTGGAAATCCGCAAGAGGTACATGGAGATGTCTCAGCAGAGCTTCTACGCGATCACGGCGAGGTTCGTCCGCAGCATGGATGCGGATGCGCCCGCCAACCACGCGCCCATCTACAAGGTCACCAAGAGCCATATAGCAGGTGAGGAAAGAAGTCTAGGGACAGTGGAAGAGCTGACTCTTATTCTTTGTCTAGCTTTTGCGCGATCACAGCGAGGTTCTTCCGCAGCCCATCTATAAAGTCACCAAGAGCCATAATTATAGCTGGTGAGAGAAGATCAATAGTGGAAGAGCTGACTCTTCTTCTTCTACTAACTCCTGTGTACTTGAAATCTACAGCTTGACAGCTAGGGACCATTGTCAGCTCTCGTTCCCACTACTGCAACTCTTGTGTAGTCAAGGCTTACAACTTCACAGCAAATGAAAATTCAACACTTCTTACTTAGTGAAGGCCAAGTTTGTCCTACGGGAAGTCAATAAGCTCTATAAGTCTGCAACGAAATTGAAGCGGAAGAGGAAAAACAGTAAAAAAAAGAGGGAGATAAGAAGAAAATTTTAGTCTTTCACTCTATCATCATAGGAAACGGTGAGATGAATACTAATGGTATTTTTTGGTCACCAGATCACATGGTCCATCCACCCTTCAAGGACGGTAAGGATCCTTGGGAGGGCCCCACGCCCCCTGCGAAGGGCTATACCATCAAAGTGGACCATGGGGTGTTCAACCTGTACAAGAAGGGCGAGGATGGCCAGGAGTCCAGGGTGCCCTACGAGTACATCACCCTGCAGCAGTATATCCAGGATAAGATTACCATGTGCAACATGATCTCAGATGGACCATTGTAAGATTTTTTTTATAGTTTTCCTTCATGTAGAGCTACAAAATACCGAAGTAGTAAATATTTAAGTTTTTTGTTTTTAGAGATTATTAAACTATACTTTTAGTTTTATTCCCGCTTTTGATGTAACGTTGCGTGGTCGGTCAAGCTAATTTGTTGTTACTTACTACCTAATAACTAACTAATTACTTGTATTGTAAGCTAAGGTATTAAACTTGATCCTTTCTTTTTCAGGAAATCATTCTGTTACCGTCGTCTTAGTTACCTGTCCTCGAAATTCCAGTTGCATGTTCTGCTCAATGAATTGAGAGAACTTGCCTCTCAGAAGGCAGTACCTCATCGAGATTTCTATAACATCAGGTAATTACATAACTTTATACCTTTTCTAAGCCAAAGGACGAGTAAACTTTTGGAAATATCAGTGATTATTGAGAATCCTTATTTACAGGAAAGTGGATACGCACATACACGCAGCATCTTGTATGAATCAAAAACATCTGCTACGATTTATCAAGAAGACTCTGAAGAAGCACGCCGATGAGGTGAGGAGACGACCAGAAAATAATTTCTCAATGTCCTCAGTTTAATGAAATGCATTTATTTAGATGACGTCGTTGTGTTTTCTTCGTCCGCATTACAACATTTTGGTTGTCGTAGGTGGTGACCCTGCACAAAGGCACGCCCATGACCCTGAAGGCGGTGTTCCAGTCAATGAACCTCAGCACTTATGATCTGACTGTAGATATGCTGGACGTGCACGCGGTGAGTTTCCACAAATTTAACACATTTAATGCCTATTTAATACTGAGATGTATGTGCAATTCTCACCTTATCATCAAAGATGTTCGCGTAGGACCAAATTATTTTAATGTTTCTATAGTTAATAGAAGGCACCCTAGGACGATTTATCAAAAAAAAAAGTAATTTGGAATGAATTTAAGTAAAAAAAAGGATAATCCACGGTGCCGTGTAGTCGGCCTGGCAGCATGTGTGTGGCCGACAACACGGCGCCGTGGGGAGGAGAGATTATCTTGTTTTAATCTATTTTATGGTTTATTTATATTTTATTATTAGGTTAATGGATGAAAATAAACAATTAATCATTTGTGGAACTTAAAAGTTTAGTGTTTATTATTAAATAAGATAAAATTCAAAAGAAAAACATACAAAAATCGTAAATTTATATGAAAAACAGGAAATAGTTTTGTTTCTAAAAAATAAAATGCTTAAAAGTCTGAAAACTATGAATGAAAATTACAAAAACATTGGGTACAGAAACCTGGCGATCTGTCGCATCCTTTACATTCATATAAATATATATATATGTATATATATTTTTGATCATATTATTTTGTCACAAATTCATATTTTAGCACCAGAAATCGAAGAATTATCAGCAGAAAAGCACTTCGACGGACCCGGCACTTCACTCATTTTGGCGCGAAAATTACGCGTGATTGACAGCCGTCTATAAAATACAAATATCACGCTAGTCAAAATCCGAAAAAAGTATTTGTGCGACAAATCGTGCGTGTGGCTGCACGAGCTACGTGACCCTGCCGTGAAAGCCGGCGGCATACAGCCTCATAGAAACGATACGGTCGCGATCCACGGCGCCGTGTGCTCGGCCCCCCACCCCTCCACGGTGCCGTGGAAGTGGCCTCCTACCGCTCCACGGCGCCGTGTATTCGGCATTAAATGTGTTAATTATACCTAGATATCTACACTTATAAAAGACCTAAAGTACAAACTGGCAAAGGTATACAGAGTTATCATTTAGAAGATTACCTTCTTACTTGACATTTATGAAACACTGGCTATGCCTTAATCATTTCTTTTTCAAAAGTGGAGCTGTTCTTGATCAGTTTGTTGCGAGTTCCAAAACTCAAAGCTTTGGTCCTTTTAATTATTACCTCGACGATCTGATAAAGGTCGCGGGAGGCTTAGTGGAAATCCTTGGGGGAGGCCTTTGTCCAGTAGTGGACGTCTTTCGGCTGAAACGAACGAACGAACGAATGTTTACCTATTTAGTTTGACGATATGGCAGAAACAACTGGACTGGCAAACTCAAATGAATTGTCTTGTTTTATGCTAGGACCGCAACACGTTCCACCGCTTCGACAAGTTCAACGCGAAGTACAACCCCATCGGCGAGAGCCGGCTGCGCGAGGTGTTCCTCAAGACCGACAACTACATGAACGGGAAGTACTTCGCTAGGATCATCAAGGTAACTTTATTCTTCTTTAAGTTTAGATGCCCAAATATTCCTATAACTGATTGTGACAACTTAGTGGCTTACGACTGTAAGGATTGATAGACCAAGCGTTTAAACGAATGGTTTCATCATACCTATCAGTTGAAACATTACCTAATACGATAGTGGGATACAGGTCCAGGATAAGGATGTCATTTAAATAATGCCAATTCTTCTTATATCCTGTAGGTGGTTATGACAACTGGTTTACAGATTTTAATGTTGGGGTTGCTGGTTCACCTAGACGTATGTTTCCAATTTACGACCAAACAGAAAAAGAAATACTAGACCATAGGGATCGATGTTACTAAGAGTCTGGAGAAAACATATTAATTTTAATTATCTCACTAGGAAGTGGCATCAGACTTGGAAGAGAGCAAGTACCAGAACGCAGAGCTGCGGCTGTCCATCTACGGCAAGAGCCCGGGCGAGTGGGCCAAGCTGGCCAAGTGGGCCATCCAGTACGACGTGCACTCCAACAACGTGCGCTGGCTCATCCAGATACCGCGTCTCTAGTGAGTATAGCTTCAGACTTGGAGAGAGCAAGTACCAGAACGCAGAGCTGCGGCTGTCCATCTACGGCAAGAGCCCGGGCGAGTGGGCCAAGCTGGCCAAGTGGGCCATCCAGTACGACGTGCACTCCAACAACGTGCGTTGGCTCATCCAGATACCGCGCCTCTAGTGAGTATAGTCAGACTTGGAGAGAGCAAGTACCAGAACGCAGAGCTGCGGCTGTCCATCTACGGCAAGAGCCCGGGCGAGTGGGCCAAGCTGGCCAAGTGGGCCATCCAGTACGACGTGCACTCCAACAACGTGCGCTGGCTCATCCAGATACCGCGTCTCTAGTGAGTATAACTTCAGACTTGGAGAGAGCAAGTACCAGAACGCAGAGCTGCGGCTGTCCATCTACGGCAAGAGCCCGGGCGAGTGGGCCAAGCTGGCCAAGTGGGCCATCCAGTACGACGTGCACTCCAACAACGTGCGCTGGCTCATCCAGATACCGCGTCTCTAGTGAGTATAGCTTCAGACTTGGAGAGAGCAAGTACCAGAACGCAGAGCTGCGGCTGTCCATCTACGGCAAGAGCCCGGGCGAGTGGGCCAAGCTGGCCAAGTGGGCCATCCAGTACGACGTGCACTCCAACAACGTGCGCTGGCTCATCCAGATACCGCGTCTCTAGTGAGTATAGCTAACGGAGAACATACTTAATGACGGAATCATTATATCTCACGGTACCTGCTACAGCACATAAGAATAAAAATTGCTTTTGCAAAATTGTACCGGTTACAATTTTATAAGATGCCTCAGTGTTTGCCTTGATGTGCCTTCTTCTGTTCTGATCTTTGTTTTTTTTGTGGCTGTTTTTGTTACTTTTTCTGTCTCTCCACCTTCAAAGTAATTGTGCACAAGATTCAACTTTACTAAGATGCCTTTAAGACATTTATTTATTTCTTTATCATTTGTGTTTTAATGCAATTGCGAATTGCTGCGGCGATTACCGCCGCTCTCCAATTTCGTCCGCCGCCGTCTGAAAATCAGCGTCCAGGCATTAGCTTGTGACACATGCTGAGACGGAGACCTTTTGCTGCCGCAACTCTGCTCACATTATTTCATCTCTAATTGTTATTTATTTTATTTTTTATTTTGAAATGGGCATGTTAAATATTGAATTGTGTAATCTTGTTGAACTATGTACCTGGTCTATGTGACTTTGTGTGCAACAAATAAATGCTTACTTACTTACTTACATCAATTTTTCATCGAAAATCCGATTCGCAAAGGCGGACATCGTTTTATCGTTTGAAGTTATACTTCCAACACTTAGCTTCATATTAACCCAGAATCTAACCGATGGTCACCTTCTTCCAGTGATATCTTCAAGTCGAACAAGATAATGTCGAACTTCCAAGAGTTCCTCAGCAACATCTTCCAGCCGCTGTTCGAGGTCACCAACGACCCCAACAGCAACATTGAGCTGCACAAGTTCCTCACGGTAAGACAATGCAAAATTAAACTTCCACACCCAAGATTTTCAAACTACTTTTACGATTCTTTATCAGACATTTGCAAATTATTCGTAATTTCGCAACCATATGGTAGACAAGGTAGAGTAGATAATCAGGGATCAATAAATGAAGATCCGGTGTCAAAGTAGAGGTACATAATTAAGATCTACAACCATTTTATAGTTCACACCCTGTGTGACTCAGTGGTTCTCTGAAGTTCGCACTGCTGCGGCTGGCAAAGCATAATATGCTTTATACTACTAACTAACTAGTGGAAAGAATAGAGAATATTATTCTCTATTCTTTCCACTAGTTAGTATGTTCTCCACTGTTATGTTGCAAACTAGCTGCTTCTCGTTGCTTGCTATCTAAGATGTAGTGTCTAGGTCTACTAGGTGCTCGTTCAACTTCCTCGGTGGCACAAATAAATAGTTTTTCATCGTTCAAGTGAATAGTTTTTAACGTGGCAAATATCGGAACATGCGATCCGGTATTAACGGTGGCGCCCCCCTGTTAGTGTCTCGGGTGGGGCGGTTCGTTGTAGTCGATGTAGGTACAAACATTAGTTTTTAATTCTGTTCAGTTTTATGTTATTATTATTTCCTTTTTTGTGATCACTGTCCATAACGCCCCCTGTTGCGCGCCTTCTTGGCTGGTAGCCTCAATATGGTCTCGGTCAAGAGACGTAATCCGCAATCTTCATCGTGTGTTGGTTCCCGCTCAAAACTAGCTTCTCGACATGGCGCTTGTTATGTCGCGAATATAGCTGAGCGGACGCCTCTTCAGCATAGCTTGTAGTTTAATGTTATATGTACTTACTGTATTTTAATTTTATTTCTATAAGCTGAACAAAGAATTCTTATTCTTATTCAAGTGCCCAGGCGGAATGTCTACATTGATCGTCAATTATCTCCCTCAGCACGTGGTCGGGTTCGACAGCGTGGACGACGAGTCTAAGCCCGAGAACCCGATGCTGGATCTAGAGGCGCGCGCGCCGGCGCAGTGGGACGACGACGAGAACCCGCCCTACGCGTACTACCTCTACTACATGTACGCCAACATGACCGTGCTCAACCACTTCCGCAAGTGAGTAACCTACTTAATGATTTAAATGCAATCGATTGATATGAGCCATAACTAATAATGCCATATGGCATTAAGTTCGCCTAATGTTAATATTTTTGGCATTGAAGTATAAATAAATAAATAACTGCCATGAGACTTATTGGAATTTGAAAACTATACTTATCTTAGTACATGAATATTGTATGTACCTATGTAGGGGAACCTGTTGAACCTTGGACAGAGTTGTACCTAAAACAATTGTATATATTTTTTAAATTATGCGGTTTTATGAAAAGTTGTCTAGGGTATTACATACGTCATTTGTCAACGTTAACGTGAAGTTAGCTAAGATTCGCCGACGCCGTGCAAGTACAAGAAAAAATGGTAATTTAATATTTTACACTGACGCAGTGAGATTTTGGAGGTTTACTTCATGTCAATTTATGAAAAATGTTGCATGTTTGACAAAACGGTTATAGTTAGAACATAATCTTTATATATCTAGCTACTAGACGATATGAGTTTCAGATCCTAAACTCAAATGGAAGTGGGTTTATTATGCTTATTAAGTGAAGTAGTCGTAATGTTGTACCTTGACCACCCAACTAGCGATGTACCTTGGTCACTGATTTTCATTATGTTTTAATGAGAATTTTATTGTAATAAAAAAACATATTATACTGTTATAGAAACAATGCCCCGAAGACCTCAAAATAGCAATTTAAAGTCTGTTTTTGATATATATATTTTTAATTTCTAATGTTTTTTAAATTTACGTTTAATGTATCTTCATATGACTTTTTTAACATTATTTTTGTTGATAAAGCGGTTTTAATGGATATTTTGCTAGAATTTATGTTAAATGATAAGAAATAAAAAAAACTAGATTGCAAGTTAAAGCCACTCCAGCGCGTATTTTGTCCTACACGACATAACATATCAACATTCACCAAAATTTTCTAGAAAAAATGTTGAATATTGTCATATTTTTGTTGATTGTGTAAGGCTAAACATGGACTGGAGAGCCGGCTTAAACTTAAGTGATTTGTTGCCAAAAAATTGTGAAAAATAATTAGTACAAAAAATATGGATGAGGATCTTTTTTAAAAAATACTTTTACCTAGATATTGTTGCTAATAACTGTAATAATTGGTATTTCAAATAATAATTTAACAGAAAATTAACAAATTGAAGCGAATATAAGCATTTATTTAAATTTAAATAGGTACAACGTACACGGTCCAAGGTACATCTGGTTTGTTGTACCTAGGACAGTTTTCCCTTTTTTTTTCTAGCAGCTAGTATGCCCAAATTTTTAAAATTATACACAATTTTATGAATGAATTATGTAGCTAATTAAATGATCTTTAAATATAACAGCACTAGACAAGTTTAACTATCACCATTATTTTTCAAAAAATCAAAATTCGAAAAACTGGCCTAAGTACAACAGGTTCCCTATGTTACCAATTCTTTATTAAAGTAGCTAAAATATTTTAGAACATGACTTTCAAGTGTCCCTTGTCCACAAATGTTTATATTTCACTAACTTTTGCCCGCGGTTTATTTAGTATGTCACAGATCGTCATAAATTATAGCCTATATGTTAATCTGGGTTATAAACAGTAATACTGTAAAGTTTCAACAAAATCCGTTCAGTAGTTTTTGCGTGAAAGTGTAACAAACATCCAGACATCCAAACATCCAGACATCATGACATCCAAACTTTCGCATCTATAATAATAATACTTAGTAGGAAGTAGGATTTCAGTTTTGTGTTAGATTCGGATTAGCTTTGCAAATTCAGTTTACTATTTTTACTAAACATAAGATTTTCCTTTATCTTATGAAATGTCACTCGAAGTTAGACAGGTATGTAACAATACATAGATTCTAGCCTTTGATTGCTTGAACATTTTGTCTAATCACTAACTTCAGTCAACGTGAACTAATTCTCGAAAGTTTTTCACAACACGAGCCCTAATATTCCTGTCACTAAGTTAAAAATTGTACCTTTTGTGTTGCAGGGAGCAAGGACTGAACACGTTCGTGCTGCGGCCCCACTGCGGCGAGGCGGGCCCGGTGCAGCACCTGGTGTGCGGCTTCATGCTGGCCGAGAACATCTCGCACGGCCTGCTGCTGCGCAAGGTGGGATATCTAGCAGATTACCAATTTTTTGATTTTTTGACAAGATTTTGACCCTATAGATAAGACTTCCGTTTCGATTATGTACTAGGGCTTTTTTATCATGACGGATAACTCTTGGCCTGAATCCGAGTTAGAAGAAACCTACACCTGTAGGCCTAAGATGCGCGCCGCGATAAGCGGTTATCACGCCATTTTATCGATTTTGCCCATACATTTTGACGTCGATAAAAGATATCACGGCGAGCATCTTAGGCCAACTGAAATCTTAAACACTTTACAACCATAATTACGTATGGCCTACTGCTGCGCAATTTTGGCATTTTGGCATCAGGTCTAGCCGCTGCTAGAGCTAAGCTCACTAGCTTGCCTCCCTTAGATGCAATGATTCTGTAGATAGGTCTAGCTAGCCCAACGGTGAAGGTATCGGATTGGCGAACTTGAGATCCGAGGAACTCTGGTTCGAACCCCGCTGGATTATTGTGGTGAACCCAGTCGTAACACAAGCACGTTAGCTTAAAAACTTAAAGAAAATTGTCAATAACCGCGGAATCATTATATTAGTGCTCATGATTTCGAAACTTCTTAAAGTTTCTAATGGCTGTAGACTTCATTATTTTATTGTTTTTGTATCTGAGTTAAAATTTTCTTGCAGGTGCCTGTGCTGCAGTACTTGTACTACCTGGCACAGATCTCGATCGCGATGTCGCCGCTCAGCAACAACTCGCTGTTCCTGAACTACCACCGCAACCCGCTGCCCGAGTTCCTGGCTAGAGGGCTCTGCATCACGCTCAGTACCGACGACCCGCTGCAATTCCACTTCACTAAGGTATGTGGGTTTTGTTATTTCTGACAGCTATTGGGAGAACAAAATAGGTTAACGCTGCCCGTCAAAACAAAATTGCATTGGCTGGAACTAGGAACAACTGGGAATTTAATGATAGTATCATTATTTCATCGTCATCAGTCTTATACCAATATGCACCATTTTACCCAATCTTCGACTTATTGCATCGAGCCTTTGCCGGCGATCTTTGGCAAATCATCGCACCACCTTGCTGAAATCCTACACTACGTTAATTTGCCGTGCAGCAGTTTCAATTCAAAAATTAGTTTACCCCAACGGTTATTCGTTCTTCCTTTAACTGTCACGGTACTAGGCACATTGTTATTATTTATTTACTTAAATATTTGAATATCCATTGACCAGGAACCGCTGATGGAAGAGTACAGTATCGCGGCTCAAGTGTGGAAGCTGAGCTCGTGCGACATGTGCGAGCTGGCTCGCAACTCAGTGCTGATGTCAGGCTTCCCGCACGAGGTATGAATACTATTTAGATCTTTTTTATAAACAATCGCAGTTATCAAATGTAATTCGTTAAAAAGATCTATGAATTTTGATTTAAGAAAATTTAGCGACAATAGCTCAACCAATGGTAAAATGGTCGAGTTCAGTTTGAGGAACGCAGGCCAAATCCCGCCGCCGTTGGACTACTGTGCTGGTGAACCCACTCGTAACACAGGCATATTTAGCTTACCTACTAAGAGGGGTTAACGATACTTTTAGTAATTTGTGCAATACAAATTAGCCATCACAGGCAAAAAAGTCCTTGCGTCTTTTCGATCAGGTACCTCAGTTCTTCCAATCCTTCCACATTCCAGATGAAGCAGTACTGGCTGGGCCCCAACTACATGAAGGAGGGCGTGGCCGGCAACGACATCACGCGCACCAACGTGCCCGACATCCGCGTCTCCTTCCGCTACGAGACGCTGCTCGACGAGCTCACCAACATCTTCAAGGTAACTTACACCTTGACACATTCACAATACACGCTACAATAGATTAATGCTAAGTAGGTACTGATTAGGTACGCTAGAGTAGAATGAAAATAATGTTTAATCTACAATTTAGACAAGAAGATTCGTGTCTGTCCAAAGCTTTAGTAAGATAATGGGGTGAATAACTAGTAGTGGTAGTGATAGTGATGACGCATACCAAGTAAATACTTAAGTGCCTATACGTTAAAATAAAAGAATTTAAATAGCCGTTGTATACGAGTAGTATGCCATGTAAGTCGTCTAATGCTATCTACTGCTCATGTTCGACTTAGTTTTTAAATTTCACTAGATTCATATTTGTCTTAAAGTAGTTTGAATTCATGCACGGTCTAATAATAATGTTTTTTTGTAATTATTGTAATGCCAAATGGCACATCGAACGAACTTAAGAAGTTACACTCTTATTTATTATTCTTTTCCTATAATAATATGCCAATATGAATACGACTACCTTGACGATATCATGGTTATACTTCAAAGCGAACAGAAGCATATTATCATTTTCCTTTCGTCTGTATTGATCCCTTTGAGACATATAACAGAATACACATGGAGAATGTACATACATACTCGTATAATCCATAGTAAAACTGGGGCTTACTTAGTGAAGTCTGCTTGTGTTGCCTTGCCTGCTAATAGATTAGAAACTTTTTTCCTCTGTGATTCGAGAAATATTTCTAACAGTGTACTAACCTTTTGTGATTTGAGCACGTTTACATGTTTGTGTTAGTAATTAAAGCTAAAATTTTCAGGAAGGAATGTCGTCGCGCACGTAAATACATCCATACGCTGAACAATGGATGAATCGACGACCATACGGCTTAAACTTAAACTTTATTAACCAATGTGTGTATATCTGTAATCAAATTTTTATAAAAATAAAATTAAAAAATGAAATTAAAAAAATATCTATAGGGCTGCATTTGCCCCAATTAAAATATAAGCATAGAAATAGACATTCCGAATGTGATAATTGTGAAAATGAAAGATTGAAAGTGCCATTTCATTGAATCTGTGTTAATTGCTTCTCCTAAATACACATTGTGCTTACCTTTCGAATGATTACCCTATTAAGTCGTTTTCATGTAGATAAAGGTGCTACCTATGTCCTAAGCCTTAACATCCTTAAAAGTCCTGTAAAATACTAAAAATGAGTATTTATTAAGTTTATAATCATGTTGATTTAGATTAAGAGCATCCAATTCCTCATACAGAAGTGAGGGTTTATAGTTGTTTTATATTTTTGTAATCAAGATCATTGTTGTTAACTTAGTCGTCTTTCTGATCGTTAGCTTCGACCACTTTTACAAATTCTGCTACTGGCGTAATTGTGTCTATTTCTTGTAATTATAATTTGTTATGAGCTAATGATTTAAAAGTCTAATGAGCATTATCAAGCGTTAAGAAATCTTTATTGAATCCTCTGGAAGGTTTTTTCCATTTTTATTTCTTACGCTCGAAATTATTAATTACGCTTTCGTGGTTGTAATGTTTGCTTACGTTGTGGTTGCTTATGTGTTAACTTTGTAAATGTGTTATTGTTTATTTTTTACAAGAGAATCTATTGTCTTTTATGAAATGTTTGCTTCATTGAATGTAATCCATGACCTTTTCCTTATTCATATTTTAATGAAATTTCGTAACAGTAAGTTCTGAACTAATTAATCGACTTACATACCTACGGTCCGCACCAATAGACTTTGCCCAACATATAACCGACAAATATACATAATTTCCTGTGTTACAAAACGAAATAATTGACACTAAAAATATTCTCAAAGTCTATTTGCGCGAACTTTACAACTTTGTACTTAATAGTAGTTTCCTTGAATTCATTAATTGGAATCACTTAGGTCTTTACGACAGATGTTTTTAAAAATCTTTTCAAATAGAAATTTACAAATACGAACTGAATGTTAATAATCATGTTGTTGGAAATAAAATTGCTCATATACAATTCTTTTGTGGTTATTAAAACTTAACATCAGCTCCTTTCTTTTTAGAACCCGATTCTGAATCTTTGTAATAATAATGCCTAATTTCATTGCTTTTATATGAACCTCCAATATTTATAGTTCTCGTCTAGTTACTTGTAGATACCTACCTACTTGAAATATTTTTAATTTTGTGGTGTTTTTTGGGATAGCTAAAGCGGTCTGGTTCGCCCATCGCGTATTAAGGTATTAGTACTTTAATGCATGGTTGCTGCTAACAGTGTTAATAGTTTGTGACTCATTACATTACTTCGGAGTTTATAAGCTTTGTAAATACGACTTTATAGAAGTGAAACGCCGAGACTTTCAAACTTTCCCACGTAGCTCAGCATTTCTTCATGACGGAATGCGATTTATTAATCATTGAATACCTACTTAAGTAAGTTAATAGATTAATACCAACATGCATTAGGGGTCATCCATAAAGTACGTCACACGTAAAGAGGGGGGGAGGGGGTCGACAAAGTGTGACATGGTGTGACAAGGGGTGGGAGGGGTCCTAAGTTTCGTGACATCACATTTCAAAATCTAATATATCTAGAGGTAGTAATAAGTAATTTGAAATATAAATTAAACTAAAAAATACCCCCACCACTTAAGCACAACTCCGTCGAAGTCGAAAACCTAGGAGAGTCTTAATGGGCAACCAATGAAGCCATTAAATCAATAAAATCTTTTGTAGGAATTATTTCAGATTTAAAATCTAATTCTACTGGCCTATAATGCCGCCAAACGCACCGTACCTCGCGCGTGATTTTATTGTTTCTATTTGTTGCTATTTTTTGCAAAACATGTGACGTCACACTAGGGAGGGGGGGGGTCTCAGAAATGTGACCACCTGTGACAAGGACGGGGGAGGGGTAAAAAAATCATGAAATTTGTGTGACGTACTTTATGGATGGCCCCTTAAAGTATTTTCATTTTAGAGGATGAACATTGTGGCGTCACGTCATGATGGGCCTTTGTTGTGTGTTGTACCAAACATCAACTAATTTCAAACATATTAATAAATAATTTTACCATCACACTTCAACTCGAAGACACAAAATAATCACAAAATTTTCTAATCTTTCCTATTTTTATTTCATAAAATGTAAATGTAATAATAGTACCTACCTACTTGTACTTACGTCTATTCTAAGCAAATTTCCACATCCAAAACCATTGGATCTATTGATCAATTGATCAAAACAACTGGACCACAAAAGGTACTCGATACGATACGATACACCGAACAAATCTATTTCACTTTGATCATCTGGGTGAAATCACTATGGTGGTTGCGCGCCATGATAAAATCTTATCGATGATTTTAAACGACAAATGTCTTATCGCGTAAAGTCGAAAAAAAAATGGCGTGATTAAAGCTTATGGCAACGCGCATACTAGACATACGAGTACAGGTGATCAAAGTGGAATAGACCACAAAAATAAGCCCGTATTCACAAACTACGCTTGCTTATGTGAAGCAGCAAATCGATCGCACAGCGTTGAATAGAGCTCTGTGATTGGTTCGTGTGTCACCCTGTGCTTCCACGCACACTGTGAGACCTCTTAATAATGTTTGTGAATACGGGCGTTATCAACGTATGTACCTATAGATGACCCACGCTGAACTGTCCCACCAAACTCAATGACAGGGGGGCGCTACCATCGTTCAACTATATGGTTTCCAACATGGCAAAAATCGGAACCAGTGATCCGGTATTGACGGTGGCGCCCCACTGTCAATGTCATGGATAGGACAGTTCAGTGTTTTGGAACTATAGCTGAAACTCTGTCTGTCGCCAGGCCTTGCACTACCCCGGCTACGCCAACGGCTCGGCCACGCCCACCACGCCGCAGCCGCCCGACTTCACCGCGCCCATCGTCAGCCTCAAGAGACCCTCGCTCGTCTGATCCGTGACTTTATCGGCCAGTTTCAACGGTTCTGGAAACTGGAACTGGCCCTTGCTGTTCCAATTTCCAAAACTATTTCTTGCCTTATTCCAAATTCGAAAATAGTCCAAAATAACAAAAAAAAAGAAAGATACCTAGTACCAAACTACTTATAGGTACGTAACCAAAACATTTTTTTAAACGATTGTTCCTTGTGGAGTAAGAATAGATTTTGTAATGATAGCGTTAAGAAACTAATTGAATAGATTTAGCGAAGTTTTATATTCCCTTTGTTTTCGCAAATCGCATAATGTAGATTTTTTAATAACATTAAAATTATATTTCACAATATTTGAGGTTTTATTTTATGGTGTTGCGCCAAAGATCCGGGTATATTACGAAAGAGCATGTATTTAAGTTAAATCTACCCTTTTGTATGGTATTTGGGGAATAAACACAATAAACAATAATACGTAGTACTTATTATTATTCTGTGATATTACCGCCAAAAAAGTATGTTATCCTCCATGTTTAGGTTATATTAAAAAAAAGAATGAAAAAAGGTCGCTTTAGATGTAAGAGCAAAAAGTTAAATACAACCTAAGTATTTGTTGAAAAACTTTTTTAATCACAACCTCCTTGCCCTAAATCTGTCATCTTCTTGTCTTTGGTGTGTCTTTGGGTTGTCAAAAATCATCTGGTGCAGTCAGACCTAAATTTATATATACTTAATTTGGCAAAATAATAGCAAATTAAATTGATTGAAATTAGATTTTCGCGAAAATGGGAGAGAAATTGTCCGTTTTCTACGAGGTTTGATTCGTTTGGTGCTCACACGACACTCGCGAGCAGGTTGGATCCTCAGCACGGCGGCAACATGTTCAATACACACAGGGAATACAAGAAGTGGACAAGATCTCGCTGGTAAGTGGAACAGGTGGAAATACATGAAGTCATAAATCTATTACAAGACACAAATAATATTTAAGAAGACGGCTTGATTGTAAATAATTGTTTGCATCTGACTTCGGTCGCATGTAGGGTTGCCAGGTGTCCGGCTTTAGCCGTATTACGTAAACGTGTAATTTTAATATTACCAAACGTCGGTCAAAAAAATCGCCATCCAGATCCTCGAAAATTAGCTCTTACAAACAACCAGAGGTGATCATTATTGATCATTGTCATATTGACGCAGTGACACGCAGAAGAATGAGAGCCGCGCGACTCGCACGCACGTGCGCGGGCCGGGCGACATCGGCAGCAGCAGCGACGTGCCCTTCCAGCGCGTGTCCGTCACCGGCATACACGTCACTGGGGTAATATACTATAGTCTGGTCTGCGAGCACGTAGAATTGTTGCTGTCGCGCTCGCACACTCACTGCGGGTGCCCGTCGCACAGTCGCGACAGCAATATAATTACGCGCGAGCGATAAGGATGGGTAGCTTGGGGTCATTGGACAAAATTCTACGTGCTCACAGACCGGGCTTTACACGTTTCGAAATTAGGTAGTTCTAGGTAAAGGTAGTTCAAAGAACTTCTCACTTTTTGACGTACGACGACGAGTACAGAAGCAAAATACTATCCATTATCCTAGAGGACGTGGCGACACCTGACGCCGACGCGTCGGCTGTCACTCACTACAATAAGCAATGTGAAAATGTGAGAGCTACTTATGGTAGGACGCTTTATGGCGTGAAGACCTGCCGGAACAAATAATTTAGATTTGAAAATAGATCAGCTACATTCATCCCTTAAAATGTCTTGGTTAAATACACCCTAGGTGCCCCTGGAAGACCTGATACGCTCGGCGACGTTCCTGATCGACGCGCTAGGCATGCGGCGGCAGTATATGGAGACCGTGCGCCAGCTCATGATGAAGGCATCCCACAGATGTATTTAACTTAGCACTGCAACTCACGCAAAATACATCTTACATTTAACAGCGCATCTCTCGTTAAAGGTAGATTCAGTCTGGGAGGTCCTACTACCAACTAAATATACTTGAGAATAGGACAGCTTCCTTACATCCCTTAAAAAACCTCAACACCAGGTGCCCCTGGAAGACCTGATTCGCTCGGTGACGCTCCTGATCGACGCGCTGGGCATGCGGCGACAGTACATGGAAACATCAGGGCAGTCGTTCTCCCAAGCCATGCGCCAGCTCATGATAATTCAAGGCATCCCGCAGATGTATTTTCCTTAGCAGTGTAACTCACGCAAAATACATCTTACATTTGACAGCGCATTTGCTGTTAAAGGTAGATTCAGTCTGGGAGGTCCTACTACCATCTGATATACTTGAGAATAGGACAGCTTTCTTACATCCCTTAAAAAACCTCAACACCAGGTGCCCCTGGAAGACCTGATACGCTCAGCGACGCTGCTGATCGACGCGCTGGGCATGCGGCGGCAGTACATGGAGACGTCGGGGCAGTCGTTCTCCCAAGCCGTGCGCCAGCTCATGATGATGCAAGGCATCCCGCAGCGCACGCAGCGCAACCGAAACCGATTCTCGTTGGAGTTCGACCGAGCGCTGCAACATATTGGGAGTTAGTTTAAAAAAAATCATTTCTTTAACAGTATTAGGCCCTTTCCAGGGTACGTAACTTTCTCTACCACCACTTTTGGACAACATTCAGTGGGCTGGTTCTGTGAAGATGGTTATTTAAGCAGTTCTTGACTTGATTTTTGATTATCGTAATGTTGGAACGTTGTAATAATGGAATGAAACTTACTCAGTGCCAAAGATACTTTTATACTCGTAAACAAATTGATGTATTTAATCAGAAGCTTATAATGAGTTTTTTTAGGGTTCATTCAATTTGTATTCCATTTTTCTTAACAGCTGAAGAAGCAGAACGATATTTGCAGCTGACAGCGTGCTCGTCCGAGGCCCTGAGACATCATCAGCCGCCTCTTGTCAGCCCGCAGAGATCCGACACGAACAGTAAATACTTTTTATTTTACTGGTTGCTGGGTAGTTCTTGTACATTTGCATCAAACCGTGACCACCTCAGTGCTTCACCAATGAAAACCACACAGAAACTGCGCGGTTAACTTGTCTGAACTAGGCTTTAATGTCACC